TGACAATTAAATCCTCAACGTCAACTTCAGCAATTAGTAAAAAATTAAAATCTGATCGCTTTTTTTGCATGATGACAGAAGTAGAGACTTGAAATAGTGTTTTTATTGTCTACATATAGTCCCAATAAATGTTGTAGGCTAAAATACTACGAATAAGATATGTAAACTTGAACGAACATAACAAGAATAGGCAAGAAACACAAAGAACTTCATTCTAATGTGCGAGATAAATAAAAGTTTAGTAACGATATTCTTAGTAACAAATTAACTCAAAAAAGTAATTTCAATTCCCCTAGTTACACAAATATGTTAGCTTCAGGGTTCTTTTTATGTACATACAGTGTACAAGTTTCAATTCCAGAAGAGCAATTTACATACGCTCACTCACACATTGATCGATGAAAAACGACTAAATCTACCAGTCAGGAATCAAAATGTCGATTCTACCGTCGCTAACAACCAACAGTCCATGTTGTGCAACTGATAACTGACAAGACCACAAGTTCTGACATGTTCGTCTTATCAATACGTCACTGCAGTCTCTTCAACACTAATCTTTGAGTCATCCTAGCGTCAGTGACCCTAGTCGACCTAGACGTTCTTGTCAAAGGCGCAACTCAAAGACTATTGACCTTTTGTTCCAATTATTGTTATCCAGTTTTAATTTGCCGTAGGACCTTGTACCGAGTTGCGCAACCAACGTTTCCACTTTGCTAAGAAATTTGTTGGAGTTTAATTGAAATTCGCGTTGCTTATAAATGTTTTAAGGAAATGAGTGATTAGGGTTAGATTAATCGTCTAGAGTAAAATTCTGTATAGTCTATTGTTATTTGTTATGTTCCTTCCTAATGCAGTAGGTAATACAACATAACAGAATTCAACTTTTTCAATCCTTTTTTGATCCTTAAAATTATATTTAATTTAAGTTCGTTACCTAAATAAATCGTTACCTTTAGTCATTTTAAAACATGGTTCAATAAGAATACAAATTTGTTTAAATAATTACACACATCCAATCCTAAATCCTGATCTCTTACTAAAATTTCTTATCAAATGAGGATTTTCCCATAAGTTAGTTTAACCATGTTTAACGTTATCCCTACACAAACTAAAAACATGGAATTGCCAATAAATAAAAGCAACGCTATTTTGAATATAGTGTAGGCCTACTGTGTACAACCCTACAAAACATTATTGTAAGTAGGCTCTGGGTGGATTTATGGTATAGTGTGGGATTGATAATTACTTGTGGACAGCTGCCATTATTCAATTGTGTGCAGTGAACGTACAGACACTAAGTAGCATATTTTTAGCATACACTGGTATTTAAAACAAACTACAATATAACAATAGTAATACTTATACCCTGCGAGCGAGTGCGTATTTCGGTGGAACTATTGCCTTGAACTTTGGTCAGATTGGTCAAAGTCCTACTCCTAAAGGAATGTTTTAACTTCTATTTAACTGGTCACTTACGATATACCGCAAACATTGCCAAAAACAACAAGACCATACACGTACACTATGATCGACTAGCGAATCGGAGTGCAATATTTTAATTTCTTTAAGATCGTTACTGGATTGTGCGTGACTTAACATTCTTATAGCCTAACAAAAATATATAACAATTTTAATCTCCGAATCAAGCAAGTTCCTAGCTCTCAAACCAAGGCACAATTAGCCTATTTCAAATAGAACTAGACGATTGTTACACCACGTAAACCACGTTTTAGCCGACTGTACGATCTCAACGTATGTTTTCAAATACCAAAGTGATTGTAATTTTATGTATGATTATAAATTTTCTTCCTTAGCAATTAATTCGGAAAATAAGTATGTTTAAGTGTTAGTAATTACCAGATATAACATGGCAAGTATGCCTACCAATAACCGTCATAATTCATAAATACAAAGAAATCTACAAATTAGGGTTTGCTTGTTTTCACAATCTTTACCGTCATATTTAGTCAGCGACTACAGAAACTAAATTTTAATTCTGCGATAGCTGTATATAGTCGATGCAATGCAAGGTGTCAAGTGCAGACTACACCACGGCGGCACCTCACATACAGACCTCGGTTCCGCAATCCCTCACTTGACGCGGCCTCATTTCCCTCATTATTTATTTCCTCGGCTCGCGGCGCAGGTATTTAGGCTGAACTACCCGAGGTCGCATTCTATTGATATTCCAAACAGGATGTTTAACCTGTGGCGGTGTTTCAGGAGGAGGGTAAAGAAATTGGGGTTTCTGTATACCGGTATGTAGTTCACACAGTTAATGGCCTATGTTGAACAAAGATTTAAAATGATCAGGCCGTTGTGTTCACCATGCCAGTGAAACCACATCTTCCTGTCATACTCCACTAGTAAAATTGACGAACCATACAAACACAATTTGATACAACATAAATCGACGAATGCATCGTTTGCCTGTGATGGTTTAACACTATTGTGAAAAGTCAATAGACGAGAATTTCTATGCATTCCAACCAACTATCTCTACCTTAGTTGAAAGATAAACTCGACAAATCAGATCTAAATATAGCCTAAGTGGTAGTTGTAGATACAGCGTACTAACAGAAGAAACCGGATTGCCAACTATGCAAAGCGGTTCACCATAGCGCGGCAAACATTAATTAAGAAATAATTACAGACTCCGGGCCGAGTAATAGCCAGGTACACAGAGATGCTATCGAGGGTCACGTGGTCGTTGTCGTTTATTTGCCGAGGGTGATCACTTCGCCCTCCCTGCAATTGTACAATAACAAAAACATCACGAACTGTGGGAAAAGCTTATCGAAAACCAACAATTCCATCACCTTCCTTCCCTTAAGAGTAAACCGAGGGATTTCTTGTTTACATAGATCGATTTGTGTTTATGTAAAGAGGGTTGCATGTAAAGATCGCAAATCGCTGGGGTTTTTACTGGTTCGATAAGCTTAATCTAAAAAATACTATTGTAAATGCTGTATTGTCTCAGTTACTTTCACCAGACATAAACACGTAATTCTCTAGCATAGTTTTAAACATTTTGACAACAAATCATAGACACTGTCGACAAGGAGGCTTGCTCAGACCTGAGATTGAAGATTTATAACCACTAGAAAGATTCATGTACAAACGATGATTCACTTAAAATATTTAGCATGTTCCCAACGCAAATATTATTGCAATATCCATTCCGAGATTGTACGTAGCCTCTACTATTTCAACGTCATAGTAAGGATTACTCAATCATTTTCTTGAACTTTTTGGCAATAATCGTACTGTAGAAATATTAAGATGTCTACATTGTGACTTCGTGATGCCAAGTAATCGCAGAACTGCCAGCAGAGCAGCCGCAGCATGGGTCGACCGCAGCAGGTCCTGGGTAGCGGGCAGGATAATGGGGTTCATCAGGAGGTGGGATTGGCGCGCAATCAACACGGCAAAACACCGGCTTAATGATCTTCTGTGAGAATACACCACACCTGAGTAATGTACATTCCCGTGGTCTATACCTGGATCACGGTAACTTGGTCCTACTATACTTTGCTCACGAAACCTTTGTCATATACTAGAATAAATATTTGGAGCATAGTAACGTCAACTATAGTTTACAATGGCTTCGCTCTAAACTGAGCCTGGAGTTCGTTTACTTATATTAATTGGATCATATTACCTCAGTAGCTTTGAATTGGCAAACCACGAATTCTGTAAAATGCACTGATTAGTCTTCCTATTGAAGATAAGATGTTTCTGATGGATTTAACGTGGGATCGCGCAGCACTATACTAGGCCTATATAACGTCATTTCTGCAGCTTTTAAAAACTAAGTTCACAAAATTTTACAGTACTTTTAAAAGAGTAAATTAACGCATTGTATTTCTACGATTGGATGAACGATAATGTTCACTATTTCTTGATTGATCATAATCAACGCATCCGGAAGTTTTATATGGACCAATCGAGTACTGTTTGAGCGATTGTCAGCTGATTACAATGCGGTGCACCACTATCAGCTGTTTCCTATGCAGGCGCCGCACATCCTTCAGAAGCCACATTTGCATTTCTGGCTTGCGTTTGTGCCATGAAGCCTCTCCGCCCAGAATAGACCAGCCACTGCTTCTGAATATTTCATATGTATAAACTTGACAAGCACATTAATCATCACTACTTGCTTGCCTTCGTGTTGATTAGAGTTGATTACACTGTACGCAGCTTCTATTTTGCGAATTGTTTCAAAATTTATGTGGCACTTGGTTATATCATTCTTTTCACGAGCTCAAATAAGATTTTCTCGGTAAAAACGTAATATTTTGAGATGGCAAAATGTCTGGTGAAATGGAATTGCATAGAGTCAAGAAATTTCGAATACGTCTTGACAATCTATTTTGTAATGCCGTTAAATGGATCATCAACGCAGCATGGGCTACATTATATATTGAAGAAGACGGAAACTAGAATTTACGAAAACATTAGTAGGAAGGTAGGCCTACGACATTTTGGTTAATTTAAGAATACTGTATACAACTTTAAAGTTGTATGCAATCCGACAGAAATTATATAATTGCACAACCGGTACGTCGTTAATTACTGTAGATTCGTCGTCAAAACCTATCAAATTTATTAAGTAAATCACAAGCGAAATAGGCTTTAAGTTTAAAATATTGTTATTACCTTAAATTCATTCAATTCTAGGTAGGCTAATTTTATTGGTCTTGATAAGGTAAATTTTCATTGAGAGCATGTCTACTGTAATCTGCATGACATTATATTTAACAATTAAAGAAGATGGGAACTAGACTGCGTGTCAGATACTACGAATCAATGTAGGTATTATCTTTATTTTATTTTTAAGTAGGCCTATTCCTACCGTAGGCTAGTCAAAATCATAATAGGCCTAAAAAAAATTTAATAATGAAAACGGCATTGTAAGTTGAGAAAGTACCTATCTTAAAATTCCAGTTTCATGCTAAAGTGATTAATTATTAATTTAAGAAAATCAAATAATCACTCACCTGTATTGTTGACATTATCCTTGATATTAGGAACACTAGTGTCTATTTTCATACAAAACGAAATCCTTATAAATGCACACAAACAGCACAAAAAACGAATCATGTTGATCCGTCCGTAAACTTCACTAGAAAATATAATTACAAAAGTATCACAGTGAATTATAGAATGTTAGGTAATTTACTTGAACACATGACTTGGTCTAGAATTCATCCAAGACACGAACTTGGTTTAAACCGGACTTTACAGGAAGACGGCTAAACGAAGACTGACGGAAATTCGTACTGAAACTGAACCGCGGGGAAACGGACAGAGCGCAGTGCTGCCAGCGCATCAGAGAGAAAATCCCCACCTCGAACGAAATTCCCTGCCCACCAACAATGAACTTCAATGACAGGTGATTTTAAAATAGAGTTTATGCAATTTGTATTTTTGTCGTTAGCTTGCTTGTATTGTGTGACTGTGGAATTTTTTTTTCCTCATAGAATGTTAATTACCTTAACGATTAAAGTTTATTGCAGTACACTAGTACCATTGACTATAGTGTAATATAGTCAATGATAGTACACTACTGATTTATATAATACCCGATCGTGATGGTTTGTTGCAGGTAAACTGTTTTCAAACTAACGTTATTATAAACAACTGCACGCTGAATATACGTTGAAAACATTTTGATACAGTGTAGGCCTTCTTTTAATCTATGCTATAAAAACAAAACTTTAAAAAAGTTTCGCAATTTGAATGCAGTATAGTGTTTAATTAAAACTTATTATAATATTATAATCCCAAAGGATGCAGTTTAGCCCTCATTAGAATTTTTAGCATTTAACATTTTTCTTTTATGTGTAGAAATATCTGGTTATAAATATACAAAAACGTGTTTCATCCTCAGTCGTTTTAATTGATTTTTAGTTATGGCCAAAATAAAAATAAAAAGTGTCCTTGCATAGAAAGGACCAACCACTATCAGCTTGTAATTTTATTATGTATTGCTATTTTCACCAGTTAGTTTAATGTTATTCTAGTCAGTTCACAAAACATAAATCAATGGATTCCTTAAAATTCACTTAAAATGCACTTCAGCTATTAAAACCTGTATTATTAAGACACATTTCCCCTTATGTTGTTAAAGAAAATTCGCTTTAAACAAATTGTGCTTTCCTTTACTAATATCCAAAACATATATTACAACCTAGACGAGTAATTCAATTTTCCGGGACTAATAAGAAAATAAAAAAACTGTACACTTCCATAATTCATAGTCAATCATTCAGTTTTCATTCGTTCGCAAGTCGTTAAATTGTCTTTACCTAACTATAAAATTGTTCACATGTTTTGTATAGCTTTTGTAAGTTTACAATTTTTGAAAATTGCTATCTAGTTTAGAAATTTAGTTCACTTTTCACGTGTTTAGCAGTATGTTTTGGCATGGATATTTATTTGTATATTTATCATATTTATAGTTATTTCATTGTTATTTATATTATTTATTGTTTTCCAGGTTAGTCCATGAGTCCATGTGCCATTTATTGTATACATATCTTCGTTATTCATTCAACTATGTATTTGCTTATCGTTACACAGTTCTTTCTTTGTCCAAGCTTTTCACATGTATACTTTACTCTTATTATTGTTACATTTCACATTCCTTTCATTGTTATTTATTATGGGTTATCTAGTCATAATGAGCAATTTACAACTCAATCACACTGTAAAATTGGTGTAAATCCGTTGGCAAATAAATACATAAATAAATGGATATGCCCGTCCTTATGACTGTTTAAATCAGCCAAATTGTATCAATATAGCGATTTGAAAACTCACTAACTTAATCTTAGTACGGAAAGGATTTTTCCGTTGGTATCAGCAAACATAACACAGCTAAAAACAGCTATTGCGTAACATATTCTTTTTTTCATATTGTCAGAGTCACCCTATGCAAAAGCAATTCTTATAACCGCAACAGTTCCACGCCGTATCTCAAAGAATATAGTCAACGCCGAAACAACAATACAATATCAATAAATAAATATGTAATCAGATTAGTCGGGCGACAACCAGAAGTCGCCACAGCGAGGTGAGAAATCCAAGAAGAAAAAGAAGTGTATGGGTTCGGATAGGCATTTATTGTCAACATTAAGCCCTCCAGTCGTTTACTGTGACATCTCTACAATGGGATTGAAAACCGGCTCCGGTATAAATACACAAGCGCGCGTGCCACGCGGGGATATTTCGTCGGGGAAGGTTGGCACTGGGGCCGGACTCTATAAACTTGTTTACTGAAGCTCTCTTTCATCTGCCCCCTACTGCGCTCCTCTCTCTCTCCCTCCCCCCTGAACCTCTATCTTTCTCTCTGTCTCTGAGATGGTTTTAGACCGACTGCATTCTTTCAACGGAAGATTGAGTGGGACCGCTCCTAACTTTTTGTCAGCTCTTTTTTCTAAAGGCGATTCTATTGAGTGTGGTGCCGAAACCAACTTGATTGTGAACCGATCTTATTTGGAGAGGGTTGGTGAAATATTTTGAACGAAAATTGTATTGAAAATTGATTATTCTTTATTGTTTGATATAACACTACTATATAGAAACCTGGTTATCGCTGTAAAGGCTAAGCTTTGCTATATCGCATAACCAGTCGATCTGAGTTGAGTTGTCAATTGTCATTCTCTATAGATATATTATTTTGAAACCGCCCCGCCGCGTTTACTGTACTGGTAAATCAATTGTTGTATCCACTTCTGTATTACCAGTAACTGACTTTCATATATACTTTTATAAACTAGAATCATTTGTGTCCAAAGATTATTGTTAATAAATTTAATATGCATTCTAGCTCAGCTTTTAACGAAGCTCATTAACCTACGATTTTTGCGGGATCATTCCTGAGAAAATTCAGAAGCTTTTTGATGGTTGGAAACTGGACCCACCAGTCCCTGATGATTGGGCCTTGTATAACAGAAAACATACGGTAATAGTAGTATGTTTTCTGTATTCTGTGCTTGTATAAATGATCCTGGATACTAAAACAGCTTATCTTGGCCAGATTCGTTGTCGCATATAGACTACCCTTTTATGGCCCTAGGGTCGTAAATGTCACAATCGAACAACCCACGTGTTATATATTACAAAACTGAGAACCGAACAACAATAATTACATTTTATTCACAAGACCCTCTTATTTGAAAAGGAGTAAATTAGGAACTAAGTCAGAGTAAACTTTAATTTACTAATGCCCAATTTTTAGCAATTTTCAACACCCGAATATATCTTCTTTTGTAAAAACTGATCAATGAAGACATCTACAACTTCGCTGCACATAGCAAATTATAGTATTTACGTTAGTTATTTATTATAGTGTCACATTGCTTACGAAGTTCAGCCCTGAGTCCACATACCCTGACATCTGCCAACTCAACGTATGTTAGCTGCACACTGCACAGAGTAAACATTTTAAGTGGGAAGTGACAAAGAGGCGGCGGTCCAAAACATTGCTTACTAGGTCACCCACAATCATCTGGCAACTCAAACTACACACCGTAGCCTACTGTACTTTACTTGGCTACACAGAGTAAACAGTTTACCTGGGAAGTGACAAAGAGGCGGTGGTCTAAAACATTGCTTACTCTAGGTCACCCACAATCATCTGGCAACTCAAACTACACACCGTACGGTACTTTACTTGGCTACACAGAGTAAACAGTTTAGTACGTGGGAAGTGGCGTAGAGGCGGTGGTCCAAAACATTGCTTACTCTGTGTTTAGCTCTTTGGGGGTTTCTAGACCTAAAATTGTCATGGATACAAAACATGTAAGAACAAGGAATTTATAAACTTCTATGGGAAACCAATTTACTCCGATCGCAACTATTACGAAAAAAATATTCTGTGGCTGGAAACCATCACCTCATAAGATGAGAACACATATTCTGTGGGGAACATACACGTGTCTACCTCATTCACTGATTACGGGCAAAGGCATACATGTAACATTGGGGACACATCGACACATCATTAAAGAGGGCAATTGTGGACCCTAGGGACTACTGCCACCTTACAAGAGGAGGGGCTAGAATATCTCTACAAATATATCAAGGTTGGGACATTGCGGACATATTTCTCTTAGTGATGGCCGGTCTTTATTCTTTATTTAAATAACACACATTTTAAATAAAGAATGAAAAGCGATCTCTTTCCCTCGCATCATTTTCCCCGTCGTAGACACATGTCCGCAATCAATGTTCCAACCTTGAAAACATTTGTAGAGACCTTCCAACACTTTGTTAGGTGGCAGTAATCCATAGTGTCCACAATTGCCCTATTAAATAATGTGTCCACAATATTTAATGTCTGCTTTTGCCCGGTCACCTCATTCAAACTGTCTTACATCATTACATTTACGATACTTTGTCTTCCAGAAAGATATATTTTAGTTAGACACCAAAAAGCGACATAAGAACACCTCATACCTGACTCATTGAAGTAGGTTTTGGAATGAATTAGTTACAAAATGAAATATGTTTTTGCTACATAATGTATGAAAGAATACTTCGCCCATTATATTTATTTCCTACATTCAATGATTTACTTTCAACATGCATATTTCAAAGCCTTTAATACTAGATTTGATTTTACACTACAAGTTTAATTATTAAATTGAGTAATGCTTTACATAAAACCATTAAACTGTCCTCACTTAAAAATTATTGAACCCCCACTTAAACTGTGTCCAATCCTCCATAACTCCTGGACAAGGTTCTAGATGCGAAGTGAGTAGGCGACTGAATTAACACTTCTAGCTGTATGCATATGCATGCGTTCAAATTCCACCATATTTTCACATAAGACAAAGCTGTTGCATTTAATCGTGCCAGAATAACTCAGCGATTTTCAACACGGCATCAACATTTCAAACCGTGTAATTATAAACAAACAGTGTTTAATAATAAGACCATTCGTATGCATCGAGTGGAATTAGTGCCATTAATTCACAGTGCTATATTTGGTTAGTTGACTAACGACCTTTGTACATTAGGCATCTATGTAAATGTTCTAATTAATATTGTATGAAAGATTGATTGGGGCTAATCGTGATAAGAATTGGTATTTAAAATCATCATACATTTATAACTGCAACAGATGAATAGATAGATTGATGCACTTTGAATTTATACTCACTCAGATTCCTGTATGACATACTACATAGTCATCCAATACCAGTACGTACCACCATAAGGAGTAGACAATCTGTGGTCCCACTTACTAAACTATTTTCGTGTTCCTT